CTGTCCCCCCGAGAGGCCCGGAGCGGGGGGGGTAAGAACAACAATTTCCTAATCCGGCCGGCTCATAGAGCCCGGGGCGGGTGCCTTCGGGCGGCGGGCGGGCTGCCCGCTCCGGACGCTGGGACCCGCGCCCTTGGCCCCCAGCCCCGGAGGCCGCGCTGAGCTTCGCGGAAGGGTCGGGGAAACGCTCCGGCTCAACGGAGGGTGAGCTCGGGGCCCGGCCGGGGGCTGGTTCCACGGACGTCCACACCCGCCCCGCACAACACCCGGGTGGACTGATCTGGGCGAGCCGCCTTCTCTCTGCGAGCAGCATCCCAGTGTTTGGCGACGTGCGGACCTTCCTAGTTGGCGGGTTTCCTGGGGAGAACCTTCCTCGCGTTCATTGTAGCGATGAGGCGCATCCTCCCCGCGGGATGCTGGGATTATGGACACGCGGTGATCTGTCAGTTACTTCTTTCATCCTGGGCTGAGATTTTGCATTAGTAATTGCGGGCGGAAAGAGGAAGAAAAGGTTCCTCTTGGGTGCAGGGAGCATGCAGGGATGAGGGGTCATGTGCGCCCTTAGTGCATAGTTTTGGTGGGTGAGCTGAAAGGGAAGGTTGCAAATTCAGTCTCCCTCCAGCCAGGCCCCAGAGTGCGCTCAGCTGCACTTTTGACAATCCAGAGGCCTGTCAGAAGCTGAGGTTGAGGCATGAATTCTGCACTTGTGGCTGGGAAGATGAACCGGGCTTTCCAAAGCTGTCGTTTTTGTTTCCAAGGCTGAAGGGGCCCGCCGTGAATAGAAAACAGCGCGGCCAGGTTCTGGGTAGCTAAGCGGGAGCGCTGTCATAAAGGAGTTTTTGTCTGAAAAATCCAAAGTCTGGGGCTTTGAACCACGGAAGGTTGGGTACTGGTCAGTTTTAACTGCCAGGGTGAGAAATGTCCCAGACATTTTTTAAATTAGGCAGCTGAGTCTAGTCTAGCTCCTGCTTGCTGGTCTCCAGCACCTACATTTACCCTTTCCAGTGACTGGGTGAAAGAGGAAAGACGCACAGAGAGAAGTGGTCTTCTCCCTTTTCCCCTTAAAATGAGGGCATAGTCCATCTTGGGTTAAGACGAAAAGAAAAATCATTCCATCTTTGCTCTTGACCCTGAAGAAAAGAATCTCAAAGAAATACCGGACAGAAAAATTCTCTCCTTACCTGGAGTGCTTACAGAACTGAACAAAGAGAGGAAAGAATTAGTGCGTATCGCAGGCCATCTGCATTTACAGGCGGGTCATTTTTCAGATGCTTGATGTTATACAATAAAAAGGTGGGAGGGAGCCAGACATGGAAAGGAGGGAGAGAGGTGAATGCAGGGCCTTAGAGATTGCAGCAGCCAAGAGAGTCTGTTTTCTCCTGATACCGGTCTGGAAGAATCTGGATGTGAGTACATAAAGCTTAATCTTTTTATCTACGTAACATGAAACTGCTTTTAATTTTCACATTGAGTTCGTAAGAGTTGAGGGAAGCACAGCTGGACTGTGCCACATGCATCCCAGGCAGCTTGGGCTGTATTGTGTGTCAAATGAGTTGTTTATTTTGCCATATAATTCTGTTAAATGTCAAATCTGTAACCTCTCTAATTCCATGAGTGTTACTTATTTCTAGTTATTCATTCATGATATGACATTTGACTAGAATTTGCTAGGGTGTTAAAGCTCGGAGGAATGCAAAACCCAGGGAACACCTTGCGTTGGAAGTTTTGATCATCTTGCACAGGAATTCTTTATCCAATATCAAATATATAAAACAGGTATAACAGGATTTGATTATTTTTGCTACAAAACATATTTCTCTTTTCATACTACATTAGGTCAGTCTTTTAAATAGTTGGCATGGTTGGTACATTCAGAATGCTTTTCACTTACCAAGAAATCCAAGTATTACCCACCTCTATAAGAAACCTGTTGTGGAAAATGGACTTGAATAATCAAAGTGGTTAACCACTTTCTATAAACCAAGTTGTGTTAAGTAAGTTGATCTTGTCACTTTTAATGATGCTAATTGGTTTTAAAATTTATCCTATACAGTGACAGGAGGAAGCCAGAACCTCGGGCAAAGTAAATACTGCTGGGAAATGTGGACCCCAGGCCGCAGAAGGTATGTGAAGGAGAACATGGGCTCACTAGTTAGCTGAGATTTGTGTCATTTTGGACTCTTGCTGCCTCCTTTCTTGCTCATGTGGAGATTTTAGGAACATTAAAACTCCTCAATAGGAGTATGTTTGAAGAAATGTTTTCTTAAATATAATAGGAGCAAGCCTGGCCTGGAGATTAGTTGAGCTTAGTACTTGCTAAGAGGAGTCCCTGACATGCAGTGAGCCCTACACAGGTATTTGCTAATGATTTGTTCTTTATTATTATTCGTGAGAATCTGGCTTAACCTCACATCCGTCCTGAGTTAGGACAGATGTGACTAGATGAGCAGTCATTCTAAGATGGTAAATTGTAATGATGGCCAAGTAGACACAGGAAATTTCTGAACGTAGACTGAGAGAAACCCTAACTATGGATCTAAAAATCACAGTTACCATAATAGAACTTTATATGTGTTACGATCATATGCCATGTTTTATTTTATTAAGTTGTGATTTAATAATTTTATTGATTAGGTAATACATTTTAGTTCAAACTCAAAGGCCTGAAAAGGTTGACTTGTTTGTAGAATGTCCCCCGTTGCTCTAGCCCTCAGCTGTCTAGTTTCCCTTCTTCCTGCGAGTCCTCCCAGGGTTATCAGTTTCTTGTGCATTACTGGATTATTTTGGTACAGTTTACTTTAGCGTCTAGATATGTTTTGGGAGAATGTTTTAGAAACGGAACACTAGACACATGGTCCTTCCCCTGGGGTTCGTGTGTGATGGGGACCAGGAGCTTCCATCTTAGTAAAGGGCCATTGACAGGATTCTTGGTGTTCAGTCCACGAGGGACATGGGTCTCCTTGCTGCTCTTGGGATTCTGGGATCCAGCCAAGTTCTTCATCCAGGTGGCTTATTATTTGTTTCCTCACTCTGTTTTGCCTTTTCTCAGCATCATACCCTACTAGAGGCCTTCCCTTTGTCCCTTACTCTTCTTTGTAACCATCAGTGGCATTGAGTGCCCTATCCATAGGTGTGATCTATACATTAATGGCTCTGTTTGTTTATGTCTTGTCTTCCTCTGTTAGCACCAAGCACCGTGAGAGCAGGGAGTGTGTGTTACCTTATATATCCCCACAACCTAGAAGAACTGCTGGCCTAGAGTAGGCACTTTGTAAATATTGCTGAATGAATGACATTTGGGAAAAAGCTGTTTTAAACAGTTAGATGGGCTTATACCACAGGACTTTTCAGAACCTTTAATAAGCAGATGTGCATGGCAGAAGTGGAGCATGGCAGGTTGGAGTCAAGCTCTTCAGCACAAATTCAGAAAGGCTTTGTGCTTTTGGGTGACAACTCAAACACCGGCGGGGCGGGGGCGGGGAGGGGGGAGCCATTGGCAGGAATGTGGCAGCTGAGCAAAATGGGTTTACAAGCATCATTTTGAAAATGTAGGGAAGGGAGAATTTGCACCCAAAGATGGTAATACAAGCATACCTCATTTTATTGTGCTTTGCTTTTTGCACTTCACAGATGTTGTGTTTTTTATAATTTGAAGGCAAGACCCTCCACCAACAAAGAGATTATGACTTGCTTTATTGCAGTACTCACTTTATTGAGGTGGTCTGGAACGGAACCCACAATATCTCTAAGGTGTGCCTGTAGTACCAAACCCACTGTTAGTAATTGCCAACATGTAAAATGTGTGCTTTCTTTTAGTTTAGACACACACACACACACACACACACACACACACACACTAGGATTCCTTGTATGTTCAGTTATGTTCTTGGTTTCCTGCCCCTGCTTTCCCAGTAAGATCTTAGGTCCCGCCTTATGGGTTTTAAAGAGCCCAACCCTGTGACTTGGTTTTAGACCCTGCCACCTTGTCACGTGAAAATCTCCTTAAGGATTGGAAATAGGAAAGCTCTGAAGTCCTTAGGATCTGGAGGGCTCTGTTCAGAGCAGCCCACCATGACCCAAGGGGATCTGGGGCACACTCAGGGTTGCCACTATTAGCTGCAAGAGCCACTCTCAGAGTTGTCTCCTTGAACAAAGGAGAGTTAATTACAGAAAATGTCAGGAAATTTAAAGGCCATTTGTCACCAGGCTGCAAGGACAGCCGCAGCCCTTGGCAGAGCCACGAGAAGGACTGCTGATGTCAAGCCCAGTCTCTGCAGACAGCAATAGTGAGCCTGTGGGTGTCCTCCTGGACAGGAGGTAAATTCCATGGAGAGCATGTGTATTCAAGGAAACAGTGCGGACTCTGGCACGGACTCAGAGTTGCTGGTGAAGGGAATTTGGAATGCCTTTCTTTCTGTCTAAAGAGTTAGGTCAAATTATCCTGATTGTTTCAAGGTCAGACCAAACCCTAATTCTACACAATCCGTTACCTACAGATGGGAGGGCTGAAAAACAGTGGTGGAGGTCTTTGATTCTAATTAATTTTGAGCTGTTTTTACAGAGCTCTGACATAATTCAGATCATCAGGAGATTCTAGTTGGCAGATACTCTTTTGCTACCAATTTTCCTTATACTGGAAAGGGGTGTTAGGAAAATATCTATTATGTTAGAATGCCTAGAATCTGCAGGTTAACAAGATTCCCCAGCAGATTCCTTTGGTCATCTAAAGTTGAGAGGGGCTGAGGGCCTGGACCAGCATGTCTCAGTCCTGGCTGCTCATTGGAATCCTGGGCAGAACTTTTAAAACCTGCCCAGGATCCATCTCCAGAGATTTGTCATGATCTTGGGGCCCAGGGCATTGCTATATGTTTTTAAAGCCCAGGTGATTCTAATGTACAGCCAGGGCTGGGAACCACTGCCCTAAACCTGTGGTTGGCAAACCTCGGCTCTCGAGCCACATGCGGCTCTTTGGCCCCTTGAGTGTGGCTCTTCCACAAAATACTATGTGCGGGCGCTCACGCACAATGCGATTGAAACTTCGTGGCCCATGTGCAGAAGTCGGTATTTTGTGGAAGAGCCAGTATTTTGTGGAAGAGCCACACTCAAGGGGCCAAAGAGCTGCATGTGGCTCATGAGCCGTGGTTTGCCGAGCCGCAGTTTGTCGACCACTGCCCTAAACATAAAGTCAGACACTATTAGGTAGCTATCTAGATTCAGAATGCATGCAATCACAATGCAAAAACATGCCATGGCTAACTGGACGTGCCATTCTTTAGAATTTATAAAGACCTAACCTGTTGTATATTGTGGATCTTACTGGTTCATTCTCTGGTTTGAGGCATCTAGAGGATGATGTGTGATGTGGAACACTTAGCTGGGCTTGCTTGTGCCTGGTAGCATATTCCTGCTCCATTGTTCGAAATGCCTTGAGACTGGAGGGAGGCCAAGTGGACAGTTGCACTTTACATCTTTGTGCTGCCAGAGAAATGGTTTCAAAATTTAAGGTGTATCACAACACTACCCCTCTTCCTCTCATGTATTACTCCTTCCAGTGGCTTTCTATTGCTCACAAGGTAGAAACTGAATTCTGTAACAGCTCTCTAAGGCCCAGCATTATCTGACCATATCTTCCTAGGCTCATTGATAACCAAGTTCTGGAAACTCCAGCCACATGGCCTTCCTTCAGTTACCCAGGGGCCCCCAGCTCGCGCCCTTCTACTTCTGGACCTAGTTTCATGCTGTTCCCCTGTTCTGGAACCTACCCCTTCACCTCCTTAGGTAATTGTGCTGTCCCCATCTCTCTATCCAGGTCATGTCCCCTTGTATTGTCCTCTCACAGCACCACGTCCCTCTGCCTCATGCTTCTCCTTGGATAGATTCTTTTTTGCATGTGGGTCTTTCCAGTAGACTGCAGGCTCCATAAGACATGAACCATGTGTGTGTCTTGGTTTGAGACTCAGTGTAGTATCCCTGCTGTTCTGTTGGATGGGTGGGTACACCTTATATCAGTGATGGCGAACCTTTTGAGCTCGGCGTGTCAGCATTTTGAAAAACCCTAACTTAACTCTGGTGCCGTGTCACATATAAAAATTTTTTGATATTTGTAACCATAGTAAAACAAAGATTTATATTTTTGATATTTATTTTATATATTTAAATGCCATTTAACAAAGAAAAATCAACCAAAAAAATGAGTTCGCGTGTCACCTCTGACACGCGTGTCATAGGTTCGCCATTACTGCTTTATATGATGATGTTGGTAAATATAATTATTTTTAGGTTGTGTCCTTTAAAATTTTATGCAGCCCAGCCAGTGTGGCTCAGTGCTTATGAACCAGGAGGTAATGGTTCGATATCTAGTCAGGGCACATGCCTGGGTTGCAGGCTTGATCCCTAGTAGGGGGTGTGCAGGAGGTAGCCAATCAATGATTCTCTCTCATCACTGATATTTCTATCCTTCTCTCTCTCTCCCTTCCTCTGTCTGAAATAAATAAAAACATACTTTTTGAAAAGTCACATAGACTAATGTAATTTTTTAAAAAAGTGTATGCAGTTGTCCATTCGGAGTGGCTCAGCTGTTTGAGCATTGTCCTGTGTACTGAAAGGTTGTTGGTTCAATTCCCAGTCTGGGCACATGCCTGGGTTTCAGGTTTGATCTCCAGTCAGAGCACTCACGGAAGGCAAGCGAGGACCGCGTGACCTAACGGATAAGGCGTCTGACTTCGGAAGGCAAGCAACCGATGTTTCTCACATCAATGTTTTCTCACATCGATGTTTCTCTTTCTCTCTCTCTCTAACAAATCTCAGTTTATCTAAATTTTTAACCAGTTTACCTCGACAGCTTTTTCACTTGAGTCTGTGTACAATTTATGAATTTTCTTGCAACACCATGAGAAAGATAAAGAAGTAAGTGCTTAATAATTGTGCATCTCCCCATGCCAGGCTTTTCCTCTGGCTTGTGTCTTCATACACAATGAAAGCAGCCTTACGTAGAGCAGTATCTCCCTGCAGGTCCCAAGCAAACCCACCTTCCCACCTTCCCCAGTCTGCCTTCCTTTATCTGGGCAGGGAAGACCACCTTCCTAAGCCCCTGCTGCTGTGTCTATCAAAGGAGCAGTTTCTG